AAAAGCTCTTCCAGCTCGTTTTTTGGTCCCACAAAAAATTCCGTTGGACTTTTAGTCTGAGTGCACAACGAAGTGGCTCTCGTGTACCCGCGATGCGGACAATACCCAAAGTGCTCACCCCTGGCAAAAGCACTACAGATGACGAAGCGATCTTTCAGCGATGGGTGCAACGGCACCGAAACTTTCCTCAATGTATAATTCACAGATGAGCCATAAGGAAGTGGACGTGCGTCTGGAGCGACACCTCCGATTTGAGTTTGCAAACTCAAGGCACGCCGTCGACTTCCTTTAAATTGTCGCCCTGCGACGTATGGGTTCACAACCCGTAATGCTTCCGCGAGCTCTATGTCTTCGACCGCAAGAGCTCAGGGCCACTGCTTGAGCTCAGCTCATAGCCCCTCTACTTCCCTGGCTATTGCCGGGAGGCGCGGAGCGTCTGATGACGCGGGACGTCCTGATCGTTCCGATCAAAAGCGTCCACGGCGACCGGGCAATCTTGCCGAAGTGGCGCCTCAAACTCCCACGAGTTTTCTGAGTCTGGAGATCCCCGCCAATCCACAAGATATCGGGTTTGACCCTGGTGACGTCCTCTCACTAGATGTTTCACGTGATAGTGGACGTCACCGTTCTCATCGAGAAGAGTCGGTGACGACCGGGTCGACCACCGCCCGGTGACTCGTGATGCTCTTTGAGCCCTTGAGGACAAGGTCCTTCGTAATCGGAGCTCCGCTGAGCGTCATGCTGAAGAAGCATATCGCTGTGTGGACGTTCTTGACGATTTAAAGCACGTCGTGCGCCGGTTGCCTCGCCTTGAGGATTACTGCTCTCTGTCGGAGCGACCCCTCGCCTTGGGGCAGGCGAATTTATCGCTGCAGACAACGGTGGAGCGCTTGGCTCCAATGGAAATGGAGGTTGTTGAACTCCGTGCTCAGAACCAAATGCTGGTTCAACTTCTAAGTGGCCGCGGGCCCAATGAATCCGCTCTGGCGCCAACGCTTCCGTGTTCACTTGCGTTGGATCCCGGTACGGCTAGAGCAAGCCCACGTAAAACGCCGGGTGCGCATCCGTTTCGGAAGGTTTAGCGTGTACGCCAGGCCCCGTTTGGTCACAACCTTAAACATTCCGATAAACCGTAGACGAAGCTTCGTCCGGAAGATAGCCGAGGCTGCATGTGTAGGCAGGTTTTTTGAATTCAAAAGACCAGGTCTTCGAGCTTAAAGCTTTCCACTTTGCCTCCTCCTTTTTCATCTGCATATTGTTTCTGCAGATCTTGGCTCTCAGCCATCGCATCGCGAACGTTTCGTAGGACACTCGGTCTGGTAGACAGGAAGTCATCGACGTCTTAACAGATGAGGAGGGGGTTGACATCAGCTAGCCGTTCGGCTATCCCCCCACCAAGCCCTGAGTCATGGGATGGCGACGTCAGCGGGATGCTAGAGTGAATCAGCCCGTTCACGTAATACGGCGTGTAGCCGGTAGACGCATACACTGCATTGTTCAATGCAAACTCCAGGAGTGGCAACATGGCGCTCCAGCGCCTCAGCGTCTTAGCACAACGCTGCGAAGATCATTTTCGATGACGCAATTCACCCTTTCGGTTTGATCAGCGGTCTGCGGATGATCCGTCGTCGACATATTTAACTTGGTGCCGAGCACCTTAACAATAGTCAACCAAAAGTTTCCCGCGAAACGGGGTCTCTATCAGAGACAATCGACTCTGGAAGTCCTTGTTGTCAAAAACCACCTTTTACAAACAGCGTTGCTGTACCGACTCCGTCGATGGTGTCTGGCACCGCCGCAAAATGATCCATCTTGCTCAACCGGTCGGCGAATAACACGACGCCCGTGTTGCCCGCCGAATATTTCGGCAGACCAAATATAAAGTCCAAACACATGGACTGCTAGCACCCAGTGGGTACTGGTAAGCTGGTCAGCGGCGCAGCCGCATTTGGAGATAGTTTTACCCGTTGACCCGTCTCACACGTGCGCACATAGGTGCTCGTCCATTTGTACAACTTGGGCCACCAATAG